AATACAAAGAATCAATGAAACAAAAAAGTTGGTTATTTATTTATTTTGGTTTTTCGAGACAGGGTTTCTCTGTGGTTTTGAAGCCTGTCCTGGAACTAGCTCTTGTACACCAGGCTGGTCTCGAACTCACAGAGATCCACCTGCCTCTGCCTCCCAAGCGCTGGGATTAAAGGCGTGCGCCACCACTGCAAAAAAAATCAACAAGACAGGCAAACCCTTATCCAAACTATCCAAAAAGCAGAGAGAGAATATCCAAATTAACACAATCAGAAATGAAAAGGAGGATTTAACAGCAGAGATGGAGGAAATCCAGAGAATCACCAGGTGGTCATATTTTGAAAACTTGTTCTCCACAAAATTGGAAAATGTAAAAGAAAAGGACAACTTTCTTCATAGGTACCACACACCAAAATTAAATCAAGACCAGGTGGACAATTTAAATAGACCTATAACCCCTTAGGTAGTAGAAACAGTCATCAAAAGTCTCCCAACGAAAAAGAAAAGCCCAGGGACAGATGGTTTCAGTGCAGAATTCCACCAGAATTTCAACGAAAAGCTAATATCAATACTCCTCAAACTGTTCCACCCACTAGAAACAGAAGGAATATTGCCAAACTCTTTTTACAAGGCTACAGTCACCCTGATACCAGATCATACAAAGATACATCTAAGAAAGAAAATTACAGACCCTGCTTCCTCATGAGTATTTTATTGAAGAAAACATTCAATAAAAACTGGTAAGCAGAATCCAAGAACACAACAACAACAACAAAATAAATCCCAGTTGCATCCCAGAGATGCAGGGATGTTCAACATACAAAAATCTGTTAATATAATCCACTATATAATTAACTGAAGGGAAAAAATGCATTATCATCTCATCAGATGCTGAAAAAGCATTTGAAGAAATCCAGTACCTCTTCATGATAAAGGTCTTGGAGAGATCGCGGACCTAAACATGATAAAGGTAATATACAGCAAGCCAACAGCCAATGTCAAATTAAATAGAGAGAAACTCAAAGTGATCCCACTAAAATCAGCCAGAAGACAAAATTGTCCACTCTTTCTATTCAATATTGTACTCAAAGTTCTAGCTTGAGCAGTAAGTCAACAAAAGGAGATCAAGGGGAGACAAATTAGGGAAAAAAGAACGAGTTAAACTTTCACTATTTGCTCATGATATGATAGTTTACATAAGAGACCCCAAGAATCCTTCCAGGGAGTTCCTAAAGCTGATAACACCTCCAGTGAAATGGTAGGATACAAGATTAACTCAAAAACAAACCAAAAAAGAATAACAGCAGTAGCCCTCCTATATATAAATGACAAGTGGTCTGAGAAAGAAATCAGAGAAATGGGCGGGAGAGATGGCTCAGAGGTTAAGAGCACTGACTATTCTACCAGAGGACACGGGTTGAGTTCCCAGCACCGACATGGCAGCTCACAACTGTCAGTAACTCCAGTTCCAGGGGATCTGAAACCCTCACACATTAGTCATGTGGCAAAGTTACCAATGCATAGAAAATAAAAATAAGAAATATTTTTAAAAAAATCAGGGCGGCAATGGCACAGCATTTGGGAGGAAGAGGGAGGTGGATCTCTGTGAGTTCAAGACCAGCCTGGTCTACAAGAGCTAGTTCCAGGACAGGCTACAAAGCCACAGAGAAACCTTGTCTCGGAAAACCAAAAAAGAAAAAAAGATTAAAAAAAAAAAAGAAATCAGAGAAACATTACCCTTCCCAAAAGCCACGAATAACATAAAATACCTTGGTGTAACTCTAATCAAACAAGTAAAAGACCTGTATGACAAGAACTTTAAGTATTTGAAGAAAGAAATTGAAGGAGAAATCAGAGGATGGAAAGATCTCCCATGCTCTTGGGTAGGTGGGATCAACGTAATAAAAATTACCATCTTAACAAAAGCAATCTACATATTGAATGCAATCCCATCAAAATTCCAACACAATTCTGTACAAACTTTGAAATAAAAATACTTGGCATCATATGGGAAAAAAAATTCCAGGATAGCCGAACAATCCTGTACAATAAAGGAGCTTCCAGACGTATCACCCTCCTTGCCTTACAGCTCTACCATAGAGCTACAGTAATAAAACAGCTTCATAGTAGCATAAAAAAGCAATGGATCAATGGAATCCCCTGATATTAATCCATACACCTATAAACACCTGGTTTTTGTCAAAGAAGCCAAAATTGTACAATGGAAAACCAGAAACCATCTTCAACAAATGGTGCTGGCACAACTGGATGTCGACATTTAGAAGAATATAAAGAGATCCATATCTATTCCCATGCCCAAAATTCAAGTCCAAATGTGTCAACGATCACAACATAAATTCAGTTACATTGAACCTGATAGAAGAGAAAGTGGGAAGCAGCCTTGAATGCATGGGCACAGGAGACCACTTCCTAAATATAACCCCAGTAGCACAGACACTGAAAGCAACATTAAATGGTACCTCCTGAAACTGAGAACCTTTTGTATGGCCTGTGGCAAGGATATGGATATAAGACAAAAGGGCGGGCTACAGAATGAAAAAAGAAATTTACCAACCCCAGAGGACTGATCTCCAAAATATTTAAAGAACTCAGGAAACTAAGCACCTAAATACAAGTTAATCCAATTAAAAAGTGGGGTATAGTTCTAAACAGAAGAAACTCAAATGTCTGAAAGACATTTAAAGAATTGTTCAACATCCTTAGCTATCAGGGAAATGTAAAATAAAACAACTCTGAGATACCTCTTACATCTATCAGAATGGCTAAGATCAAAAACTCTGATGACAGCTTATGCTAGAGAGGACGTGGAATAAGGGGAACACTCCTCCATTGCTGGTGAGAATGAAAACTCATACATCCACTTTGGAAATCAGTATGGCAATTTCTCAGAAAATTTGGAATTAGTCTACCTCAGGACTCAGCAATATCACTCTTGAGCACACACCCATAGGATGCACAATCATACCAAAAGGACATTTGTTCAGTTAAGTAAATAGCAGCGTTATTTACAATAGTCAGAACCTGGAAACAACCTAGATGTCCCAAACCAAAGAATGGATAAAGAAAAGGTGGTACATTTGCACAATAGGGTACTACTCACCGAAAAAAAAAAAATGACATCTTGAAATTTGCAGGCAAATGGATGGAACTAAAAAGTCAGGCTGAGTGAGGTAACCCAGACCCAGAAAGACCAACACTACCGGTATGTACTCACTCATAAGTGGATATTAGACTTAAAGCAAAGGATATCCAGCTACAATCCACAATCCCAGGGAGTTAGGTAAAAGAGGACCCCAAGCGTGACACACATGGAGGGACCTAATGAGAGCCCCAAGTCTCTGGACTGACAGCTGGGGAACCTGTGTGGAACCAAACTAGGCCCTATGAATGTGGCTGACAGTTATGTGTCTTGATCTGTTCCTGAGGCCCTTAGCAGTGGGACCAGGACCTATCCTAAGTGCATGAACTGACTTTTTGGACCCCATTCCCTATGGTGGGATACCTTTTTCAGCCTTGATAGAGGGGTGAGAGGCTTGGTCCTACCTCAACTTAGTATGCCAGACTTTGTTGACTCCCCAAGGAAGGCCTTACCCCTTCTCAGGAGTGGGTGATGGGGTAAAAATGGGGAAGGTGGAAGGGTGGGAGAAGAGGAGAGAGGGGGAATTGGGGTGGGTGTGTAAAATTAAAGAAAATTTTTAAATAAAAAAAAAGATGCCCTTCTCCAGGTTGCATATATTCGGTCAGACATGAGCTTAGCCATCTTGAGTTGTAACCTCCACGACTATCACTGACCAACCTGAGCCGGGATTTCTTGCCTAATTTCCCAGCAAGCCTTAGTCAGAACCTCTAGAGTTTGTGTGGAGCTGTACATCTGGTTCCTGGCTCTAGAGATGTGCCCAACTGACTCTGTGATTCCAGCTCAAACTAAACCAGGCACCTTCCACCAGAGATGAAGCCATGTTTCCCGTATCTGTTTCTTCCACCACTCTGGCCTGATCTGTAAGGACTTAAACTGGTCCTTTTGTTCTCAAGGAGCCGATTCTGTCAGCAAGTCCTCCAACACAATGTGGGCAATTTTGTCTTTTCCTCCATTTCTTTAGTGGAATTTTTAATTTCCTCTTTAAGGGCCTCTGTCATCTTCATAAAATTATTTTTGAGGTTGTTTTCTCCTTCTTCATCTGTGTTGGGATGTTCAGGTCTTGCTGGTATAGAAACACTAGTTTCTGGTGCTGCCATATTGTTCTTTATGTTGTTGATTGTGTTCTTACACTGCCGTCTGTCCATCTCTCTCCATCTCTCCTTCCTGTTGGTGCAGGTGGGGCCTGTACCTCCGTGGGTCATTCTTCCTATTTATATTTGATCCCTCCTTGTTCCCAGGAAGTTGCTGTACCAAAAAATCACCAGCTTATCCCAGCCTCACTTTGGCCTCTCCTAAATCTCTAGAAACCAGAAAAACGGCTTTATTTTCTGAAGAGATTCTGATTGAGGAACCTGAGCAAGAGACCTAAACTCAGAGCAGGATTTCCTTGTAAATGTGTCCTGAGTCCCAGCACCTAAGTGTGTTCACAAATCCTGCATTTGTGGAGGTGGAGTGCAAGATGCTGAGACATAGGTGAGGCAGGGATTGACTGCAGTGGGTGTGTAAGGAAACGTGCATGTATTCCCATATGAGTAAAAGGAGCAAAGATCATAAGAGAATGGAGCTGTGTTACTGAATAGACAGTGATGATTCTTTCCATTGGCAGTAAGTAAAGAAATGCCAAAGGCCATTATATATCATAAGACCAAACAGGTGAGAGAGCAGAGAAGTGGGGCATGAATAAATACCAAGATAGGCAGTGGACAGAGAACCAAGTGTGGACTTCCTGCTAGAAGCCTGCATTCCTCTGTGTCTCCTGAGTGCTGTTTGCTTACTTTGTCCTCTGTGAATAGAGGCCGGGTTCACTCTGTCCCAGACTGTCTGTGCCTGTCCTTTGAAAGCCATGTGGCTCTACCTGATGACCCCTGTGGGCCTTTACTACCTTCTGCGTTGGTACCGTGAGAAGCAGGTGGTGAGCAATCTCCAAGACAAGCATGTCTTCATCACGGGCTGTGACTCGGGATTTGGGAACCTGCTGGCCAGACAGCTGGACAGGAGAGGCATGAGGGTTCTGGCTGCATGTCTGACGGAAAAGGGAGCCACGGAGCTGAGGAACAAGACATCAGACAGGCTGGAGACAGTGATCCTTGATGTCACCAAGACAGAGAGTATTGTGGCAGCCACTCAGTGGGTGAAGGAGCGTGTTGGGAACAGAGGTACCATTGAAATCCCTGTCTGTGTTTGTTGGTTTGACTTGTGTGTGAAGGGGACTGCCGGTTTCTCCCTTGGAAGAAGCTTTATGTGGGTTGGGGCACTTGAAGTACCAGAGCCTTCTCCTCTCTCCTTAACATCACCTGAGTACTTTCTCTCTCTCCAGCCCCTACCTGCTGTTTCTGTCTCTCTGGTCTTGGTAAGAAGGTACCCTTTGAAGGATTTACCGTCTCACCTTCCTGTCTGTGCTCTGTCCCCTTCTCTATGTAGACAATCAAGAATGCTGGATGCTTAGAGCAGGGTCCCTTACTGGAGCAGAGGATGGGACTAGTCCCTGGGCTATTTGTACAGGTTATTTGGGGCCACACTTGGGTAGAGCTCATGGGTTAGCACTGTACTTGCTCTTACTGGGCACCTGCCATCCTCTGTGAATGGAGACAAGACTTCTCCTCATTAAAGGAGCCTGGAGCCTCAGAGCTGGGGTTCCCAGCCATGATGATACCATGCTGCTGTTGGACAATGGTCTTTTATCCTGTCACTTATCCTACTTTTAATAAAACGCGGATTGGACAGTAGCCAGGAAGGAAGTGTAGGCAGGGCAATCAGGCAGGAAGTGGTGGCCGGGCCATGAGAACAGGAGAATTCTGGGAAGAGGAAAGGTCACTTGCAGCCATCACTCAGATGCAGAGGAAGCAAGATGAGAAAGCCTCACTGATAGCAGGGATCAAGCTGTGTGGCTACCACAGACAAGAATTATCGGCTAATATAAGTTCAGGAGGTAATATTAGCTTGAGCTAATAGGCTAACCATTTTATATTTAATCTGGGCTTTTGTGTGTTTTTTTGGGGACTAAATGGCTGTGGGACCTGGTGGTACAGAAACCTCTGTCAACACCATGCTGATCTTCACTGTGTCCTAATCTCCAGTAAACACATGTCTAAGCTGTCTTATCTTGTTGACTGTGCATTTCATCCATAACTATACCTGTGCTGTGTGACTCTCTCTCTTCCCACTGTCCCCAGGACTCTGGGGCCTGGTCAACAATGCTGGCATCTCCTTTCCCTCGGGGCCCAATGAATGGATGAACAAAGAGGATTTTGCAAAGATACTGGATGTGAACCTGTTGGGCGTGATTGAGGTGACTCTGAGCATGCTGCCCTTAGTGAGGAAGGCAAAAGGCCGAGTGGTCAACGTTTCCAGCATCTTGGGTCGAATATCTATAGTTGGTGGTGGTTACTGCATCTCCAAGTATGGTGTAGAAGCCTTCTCCGATTCCCTCAGGTAATGACAGGGATGTGGGTATCTGAAAGAATCATTGGAATAAGGTTTTATTTAATCAAGACCATTAGAAGGTCATCATGAAGAGGACACGCTCAGGTTTTCAGGTTCTATAACTGTCTCTTTGTGGAGGGAGGTGATCATTCTCCAGAAATACATTGCTATGTGTTACTAGAAGGGCAGGGCTGAGACAGTCTTCCTTCCTTCCTTTCTTTCTTTCTTTCTTTCTTTCTTTCTTTCTTTCTTTCTAACACGGTCTATGTAACTTTGACCTGCCTAGCTGGCCTCAAACTCATACAGATCTATCTCCTGCGGATTGGAATTAAAGGATTCTGTCAAGATGAAAGTTCTGTGCCAGCATTCTGCCAAGTTCAGTTAATTGTATCTTGCTTGGAGCTGGAAACATGACTCAGTGGCTAAGGGCACTGGCTCTAGAGGATCCAGGTTCAATTCCCAGGATCTGACCCCAAAATCTGACCCCCTCACACAGACACATATGCAGGAAAAACATCAATGCACATAAAAATGCAATATCCTACTGTAGCAGAAGGCGAACATAGGGAATATTTTTTGAGGCATAGTCAGACATGTGATATTTTGAGAAGAGTCCAGACTCTTGACTTTTAGTGATGAGGAGGTCCTTGGGGTGGGCTGAGCATCTCATTCAGTTCATATCGTAGTTTCTACATTCTTATTATAGTCTCTGATCAACTCAATATAGAATCACAAGAAGGCTTTCCTCCAGACCTTAAAAACTCTGACAACTGAGAAACTGAAACAGGAGAGAAAGACTGTGGCCATCTTAGCAGTGAGCAGAGCAGTTATCAGACTTAGGGTCCTAGAGCAAGAAGCCAAGCGGGAAACTAGCAGCCTGGTGAGGAGGCCTGTTGGGGAAAAGGTGCTGCTGGCAGCTACTCGACCAAAGGATAAGTCATATGATACAGGCAGAAGGCTGAGTCAGTGGGCACATGCAGGCATGTAGGGAGCATGAGAACCACTGACAAGAATGTACTTCATAATGTTCACGAGGCAAATTGGAAGAGAGTGAATCAGGGGAGCCCTGTGTGCCATGCAGCCTGTCAATGGTAGAGAATGGGGGCATGGTAAATGTGATAGGCACTAAGAAAGCGGCCAGAGAGTGTTTCCAGGAAGATGCCTGCAGGAGCCATGGGCCATCTGGACTGAAACAATTTAGGGAAGGTTCAAACCCAAGAGTGAAGAGGGGGTGCCTTGGGTAATGGTAACCTTTTGCACCTGGAACGTACAGACAGGTCGTACCTGGAGTCTAGTTCTAGTCCAGAGGGCTACATGCACCAAATACTTTGGGTGATATTTAAAGCGCTGAGGCATTGCCCTCCCCATGAGTTTCATCCCCATCTGCTACACAACACCTGTCTGAAGATTGTGGCCTCTACTCAACACAGGCTCATGTTGTCATGTGACTGTACTCTGATTCTGTGTGACAACAGAAAGTTGTCTGAACTCTTGACATCTCTCTATCTTGCAGGAGGGAGCTCTGCTATTTTGGAGTTAAGGTGGCCATTATAGAGCCCGGTTTCTTTCAGACTGCTATTTCCAGTAGTGACGGGCATTTTTCACATGTCAAGATGCTGTGGGAGCAGGCAAGCTCAGAAGTCAAAGAGTTCTATGACAAGAAGTTTTTATTATCCTGTGAGTGGGTTTTTGGGACCAAAGAAAACAAGTCTAGAATTCTGAGTCTCCTGTTAGTGTTGATGGCAGTTACCCTAAGGTGTTTCTTCTTAAAATGAGCATGATTAGCCTCTGTTTCCTTGGTACAGGGTGGGTATTTCTCCACATAAAGAGATCCTGGCTTCTAGAATGTAAGGTGTTGTTTCATTTAAATCCCTTATTATTATGACATGAAAGTGAAGCCGGAGTCACGAAACAGTGACTTTCCATGAGCTTGGGCTTGTTTCCACTCTTGCAGGGACGAGAGAGTTCTCTGAACAGAGATCCAGGTAGAGCATGTGTGCGGTTCCTCCTTGAAGCTGGGCTGTGTCCTCCTGATGACCTGGGACAGGCTAGGCTTGGGCATGGCTTCAGATGTGGGCGACTTGGGTTCTAGTGAGGCTTTCTTCCATGTTGGTCTAGAGCAGGAATGTTAGAAGTAATCACTCCCTGAATCCTTTCTCCTTTTGCATAGATCTGAGACAACTAAAGATACTCTTACGAAAAACGTGCACAGAGGACCTTTCCTTGGTGACAGACTGCATGGAGCATGCGCTGACTTCCCGTCACCCGCGGACCCGATACTCAGCTGGTTGGGATGCCAAGCTCATCTATATTCCTTTGAGCTACCTGCCTACCTGTCTTTCGGATGCCTTCTTCTACAGGACCTCCATGAAGCCTGAAAAAGCTCTGTGAAGCCTGCATCTGTTTCAGTAGTTGGGGGACATAAGAGTGCAGTGTGAGGGAGACGATCCTCAAGAGAAGGCAGATGTGGGGCTCCGGACAAACTTGTCATTGGGAGGGAGATCCACAGGTGCCTGACTTGTCTTCCTTTGGTATGACCATGGAGAACATAGAGCCACAGGGAAAGCTTCTATGTTTAAATAATGACTTTAATCTTGATAAAAATAAAAAAGTGATCTTCCATGTACTCGGGTCATTCATTTTACTTATTTTAATTTAAATTTTTTTGTCTATCTTCATGTGTGTCAATATTGCATATGTGTAGGAATACCCATGGAGTCCAGATTATTAATTTTACTGAACATGGAGTTACAGTCTGTTGTGAATTACCTAACTGTGGAGTTTAACACAATTTAGGTCTTCTAATCTATCACCTTTCCCTATGATTAAACTCCTTATTTATGATTTTAGTTAATTATCTATTTTGAGAGAGGTTCTTCCTATGCTACACCGGTACATAAAGATATTCTGACTCTGCTTTGCTGCAGCAATCTGGCTTAGCTATGAAGCCCTGACTAGGATCAGTGAGGGAAGAAAGAAAGGACAGACATACAGACACATGGACAGAAAAACTGGCATCCAGTGGCATGCAACCTGTACCCTAAGTATGTAAATTATAAATAGCTAAGGGAAAAGACTTTGTGATCTCTGTAGGAGGTCTGAAGGCAGCGATTTCAGGCTAGAAGCTGATGTGGGATTCACCTCTGTAGGTATGTATTTCTGTTGATCTGTGTATGGCCACAAGGCTTCTCTTTGATTCCACCCTTCTTTCTCCCAGCATTCAGTTTAGTTTGACCTGTTCTGCGTGCTGACTGTGGGGAGTAAAAATATTCCTCTAAGTTTCTTTATTTCCTGCTTGGCTTTACTGGCTCCACCATGCAGCACAGACTCAGCTGGCTACAGTGCGGGTCAGACTCAGCAGGCTACAGGGCATGTGTGTGGACTGTGACAATCTCAGTGTTAACCTAGGCAAATTTTGGGTCAAACACTGCATTTTCTTCACTCTTCCTACCTGTTCAGCAGTGATAGAAGCTGCATCTCTGTGACCACAGCACTGCACTTGTATGGGAAGGTAGGGCCTCCCCTTGGCTTCCCCGAGTCCCAGAGTCGCCCCAAGGCAGCAGCGTGGATGCTGCCAGTGTAGGGGTGGGAATGTGCTATTTACAAACTCTAAATATCTCTGCCTTTGTTTCTGATCCACTTTAGCTCTTATAGCTATCAAAATACATCCAAGCAACTGTACCGATAACTGAATATTATTTCCTTGTCTCATATCTTCAACTATATGCAGTTTTATTCTCAATTTTTTCTTCCTCACTTCTTGCTTTTTTTTTAATATCTCCTTATTTCTGAGTGCTCATTACTCACCTCTTCACCTGTGGGGCAAGTTTTTCCTCTGGGGTTCCTCATGGGCCCCCTGTACACCTGGTACTCTTTTGTGTTTTTGGGGGGTTCCTCAGTCAGCTCCTCGTTGTGGCGCTATATGTTGGGGATCAGCCATAAAAGTAGACCTTTATGCCATAATACTGCTGTAGGAGTAAGTTTTGTAGATAATGTAATGCTTGCCAAGGCTGATCACAATTAATATAATGGACTTGCTGTCTCTTTATGGCATTCTCTAACCGTGTGAATGCCTCTTTGGCTGCTTCTGTAAGCTGTCTAGTGGAATTTGGATCACTGTTCCCTTTAAGAATTTTACTTAGTGGATCAAGGCCTCCCGTAGGATATTTTAAATAAGGTCTCAGTTATTGGATGTTTTAAACTTTTAAAAATCATTTAGAGTCTTTAAACTATCCTTTTTAATTTTTAGTTTTGAGGCTTAATTTTTTTTCTTTAGTATGTAACATATAACCTAAATTCTGGAAAGGTGGGTCTCTTGTATTTTCTCTGGAGCAACGATTAACCCTGTATGCTCTGTTTTATTAGTCCATATTTCTCAAGTAAAACTCCTTCATCTTTATGAGCAAATAAGATATCACTCATATACTGGACAATATAAACCTGTGGAAATAGATCGCTAACATTTTGTATAGCCTGAGAGAACTATTTCTGGCACATACTGTTTGCCATACCCTGAGGTAAGACACTCCATTGATATATTTTTATTGGCTCTTTGAAATTAACTGAAGTTATTTATTAATATTAAATGCAAATCTTTAATAATCTTGTGGTGCCAAAGGGATGGCATGAAAACAATCTTTTGACTCTAAAATAATCTTATGGATGTCTTTTGGTATAGTTTTAGGAGAAGGCAACACAAGTTGTAATGCTCACATCAGCTACATGGTTCCATTTGCCTCTCTTAAGTCCTGAATTAGTCTCTACTTTTCTGACTTTTTTTTAATTACAAAAATAGGAGAATTATGGGGGTGGGGATTGGATGGTATAATGTGACATTTACCCAGCTATTCTGGCACTAGCTGTTGGGCAGCTTGTAAGTTTTTTTCTATTAGAGGCCACTGATTTACCCTTATAGGCTTGTTACTTTTCCAGACAATTTGGTAACCTGCATGGGGTGCAGGTTTCTCAGTGACCTCTCCTAAAAATATTCTAATGTTACCTTGGACGACCTTTCACTGGTTATGATAGGATTGATTCTTCCCTTATTTTCCTTGCCTAGACCCTGAATGGGTAACAATCCTTGCTGAAACATTTGATTAGCAATAACTGTTGGAGGAATATAAATATATCCCCTTTAGGGCTTATGTTGGCCTCATAAATTTACAGGTAAAAGAGGAAGAATGTATGACTGGAAAGTTCCTTCATGACCTTTTCCATCCTTTCAGTAAAGCTCATTACTGCTTTGTTCAGGATTTTGAGTCTGACCAATCCCTTGTAACTGTAAAATAGTCCATTTTTTTATTTTAATTTTTTTTATTTTTTGCTATTTCATAGGTTTTTTTTTCTTTTTTTTATTAAGAAAAGGAGAAAAAAAAACAAGTTTCCACCTCCTCCCAGCCTCCCATTTCCCTCCCCCTCCTCCCACCCTACGCCCCCTCCTCCTACTCTTCTCCCCCTCCCCCCACTCCTTTCCCCCTCACTCTCCAGTCCAAAGAGCAGTCAGGGTTTTCTGCCCTATGGTAAGACCTAGGACCTCCCCCCTCCGTCCATATCTAGGAAGGTGAACATCCAAACTGGCTAGGCTCCCAGAACATGAAGTAGGATCAAAACCCCGTGCCATTGTCCTTTGTGTCTCATCAGCCCTCATTGTTCGCCATGTTCAGAGAGTCCAGTTTTATCCCATGCTTTTTCAGTCACAGTCCAGCTGGTCTTGGTGAGCTCCCAATAGATCAGCTCCACTGTCTCAGTGGGTGGGTGCATCCCTCGTGGTCCCGACTTCTTTGCTCATGTTCTCCCTCCTTCTGCTCCTCATTGGGACCTTGGGAGCTCAGTCCAGTGCTCCAGTGTGGGTCTCTGTCTCTATCTCCATCCATCACCAGATGAAGGTTCTATGATGATATGCAAGATATTCGTCAGTATTGATCTAGGATAGGGTCATTTCAGGTTCCCTATCCTCAACTGCCCAAGGAACTAACTGGGGACCTCGGCTTGGGCACCTGGGAGCCCCTCTAGGGTCAGGTCTCTTGCCAACCCTAAAGTGGCTCCCTTAACTAAGAATTGTGGTTCCGTGCTCCCCTGTCCAACCTTCCTTTATCCCAATCCTCCTGTTTTCCCAAGGCCCGATCTCCTTCCCTTCTAACTTTTCTCTCCCCATCTCCCCTTACCCCCATCCCACCCCACCCCCAAGATCCCAATTTTCTCCCCAGCAATTTTGTCTACTTCCCTTAGCCAAGAGGATAACTATATGTTTTTCCTTGGGTTCCCCTTCTTACTTAGCTTCTTTAGACTCACCTATAGTAGACTCCGTGACCCTTAATTATGGCTAGAAACCAATTATGAGTGAGTACATCCCATGTTCATCTTTTTGGGTCTGGGATACCTCACTCAGGATAGTGTTTTCTATTTCCATCCATTTGCATGCAAAATTTGAGAAGTCATTGTTTTTTACCGCAGCGTAGTACTCTAATGTGTATATATTCCATACTTTCTTCATCCATTCTTCCATTGAAGGGCATCTAGGTTGTTTCCAGGTTCTGGCTATTACAAATAATACTGCTATGAACATAGTTGAACAAATGCTTTTGTCATATGATAGGGCATCTCTTGGGTATATTCCCAAGAGTGGTATTGCTGGGTCCAGGGGTAGGTTGATCCCGAATTTCCTGAGAAACCGAAACACTGACTTCCATAGTGGTTGCACAAGATTGCATTCCCACCAGCAATGGATGAGGGTACCCCTTCCTCCACAGCCTCTCCAGCAAAGGTTATCATTGGTGTTTTTGACTTTAGCCATTCTGACAGGTGTAAGATGATATCTCAAAGTTGTTTTGATTTGCATTTCCCTGATTGCTAAGGAAGTTGAGCATGACCTTAAGTGTCTTTTGGCCATTTGAACTTCTTCTGTTGAGAATTCTCTGTTCAGATCAGTGCCCCATTTTTTAATTGGGTTAATTAGCATTTTAAAGTCTAGTTTCTTGAGTTCTCTATATATTTTGGAGATCAGACCTTTGTCTGTTGCGGGGTTGGTGAAGATCTTCTCCCAGTCAGTAGGTTGCCTTTGTGTCTTAGTGACAGTGTCCTTTGCTTTACAGAAGCTTCTCAGTTTTAGTAGGTCCCATTTATTCAATGTTGCCCTTAATGTCTGTGCTTCTGGGGTTATACATAGGAAGCGATCTCCTGTGCCCATCTGTTGTAGGGTATTTCCCACTTTCTCTTCTATCCTTTTCAGTGTGTTCGGGCTGATATTGAGGTCTTTAATCCATTTGGACTTGAGTTTTGTGCACGGTGAAAGATATGGGTCTATTTTCATTCTTCTACAGGTTGACATCCAGTTGTGCCAGCACCATTTGTTGAAGATGCTTTCTTTCTTCCATTGTATACTTTTAGCTCCTTTATCAAAAATGAGGTGTTCATAGGTTTGTGGGTTAAAATCCGGGTCTTCTATACGATTCCATTGGTCGACTTCTCTGTTTTTATGCCAGTACCACACTGTTTTCATTAC